TGTGCGCTCCTTACTTTTTCAACTTAGGAGTACATGTGCTCCTTGGGAAAAAGTTAGCGTCAGTCCCTGCTTTAGGGTCAGAACTGGTCTGTGTTTTAATGCAAATAACCATGTTTTTCGAATGAAGGCTTTTTAACTTGATTCAAGTACATTTGTTCTGCTCCAAGCATGAGTGCCTTAAGTTATTTTTTCTTACCATGTGCTGACTAACCATAGTTTATCTGACATAACCATAATCTTTCCCTTATTTTTCTAATGCATGCTAGTAGGCGGGGGTGGAAAGTGAACAGAAAGGCAGATTTGCTAATCCTGTGTTTGATCCCAATGATGGAAATCAAAAGCTCATTGCGATAGATGCTGAATTGAAATCATGACACCTTTCTGTGCAGATATTGTACAAAGTTAGATTTTGAAAAAGACATTGGATGTAAAAACGATCACACCGGGGATAGTCTCACATAGCCACACCAATCTACAGATCTTGAGAAAAGTCTGACATCATCATATCACTATTTTGATGAAGAGGAGAAAAGTGCTTTGGCTTGTTTTTGTTTCTCTAAACCAATCACAATCATCCAGGGTGGTGCTAGGGCAAAGATGCAACGATGGTAACCTTAGTCAGAGTCAGGGGGAACACACACAGTGACAGGGCTAACTGTTAGCATCACACAGCTAACGCCACAAAATGGTCATTAACGGATTTAACGACAGAGTGAAGCTGTTGCGGTGTCTGTGTGAGTTTAATGGGGCTGTTTAAAAGCTCAGTGTCGGTTGTTAGCGCTGCTGATGTGTTAGCTCGTGCTGACTGGGAGGGGAGCGGCAACAAAAAGTTAGCTGATCTGGTGGGGAATCGGGACGGTCCAGGAACGAAACTCCAGCTCTCAAAACAACTGATTTCAGGTATAGTTTGACTGGAGATGCTTTGAAAGATTTGGCAAATCAGCTCCGACTGACCATGTCAGAAAACAGAGCATCATCGGGCTTGAGAGTCCTGTGAGTCGGAGTCTGGGCTTTTCTGAGGCGCGTTCACAAGCTGTTTTATTTATTGTAGATCTTTACAACAATTCACAGAAAGATCAAAGCAGGCGTGACTTATTGCACCAAATCTTCATCAAAACTTGACATTTGCAGTGTGTAGGTTGTGAGCTCAGACTTTGTTGTTGTCGTTTCCTGTAGCAAAGGGGATTTTGAAAACGAAACATGCAGATAACAGAGGGGAGGGAGAACACAGGGCTAGATAGCCAGCAAATGGCAGGCTCACAGCCACAGTCTATATCCAGTGAGTCAGACTAGATCAAGGGTTAAAAGTTAGTTTTAAGATCAAAGAATTATTCCAGTTTATTTAAAGGTGTTTTTTTTATGTTTTTGCCATGATTTGTATAAATAATTGAACACTGTACTCACCATTTGTTTTCTGAGATCAGGGTGAAGAAGCACAGAGAGTCAGATGATCAGAACCTTCCAGAATACACACATTTGATTTGGAAGATGAAATGTGGGAAAATTAGTACCCAAACTGTTGTGAACATCCACCAGAGGTTCATATGGATCTGTTAAGGGAACTGGGTACATTTTCCAAGATGGCACCCCATCCAAAATGATTAAATAAGGGTGGAGTTGGGGTTAGACCTGAGGTTGTGATGGTTAACATCAGGGTCAGGGAAGGTAAATACCAGAATTATGTCACTGACGGTCCTCACAAGTAGTGTGTGTGTGTGCATGTGATAGATGCACCGACATGGCTCCGGTCTTCTCTGCAGGCTCTTTATCTCTTTGTGTCCTGACAGCGGGGGGGGGGGGGGGGGGGGGCAGGAGGTCCACGCCTCCATCACGTCCTCCATGCAGCCCTCTGTCACATGCCCTCATTGTCATGTTGTTTATTTATTTTATTTTCCTCTATGGTTCTTTCATTCTCTGGATTTTTTTAGGTCAGAACACACACATAACTGCACACCAGCTGCCACCGCCGAGCGTGTTTTCTATGAACTGTGGACAACAAAGCGCGCGGTGGCGGCTTCTGTGCGTAAAATTTGCATTAAGCTGCAGATCAGAGCGCTGACTTGTTCTGGTGAGACTCAACAGCTGAATCAGGCGACTGTCTCCATGATTTGGAACAAATCTGTCTAATAACCCGTTTCTGTGGGTAGATAAAACAGCGCTTTGACACTGCGATAATAATAATGGCTTCCAGTTTTAATGAGATTCATATCAAAGAGCGCTATTGTTATTAAAACTGAAAGTCTCTGTACCCTGACATCCAAGTGGCATCATTACCCTCCTGCCCTCACCTGTTTGGTGGATTTAAGGCTAATTTATCCCAAATTAAAAGAGTCTCTGTCTCCTCCTCCTCAGGGTTTTGTCGGGAGCTCTTGCAGGTACGAGTTCCCGCCGGCTCCTCTTCCGAGGCTGAATTGCATGTAGTTGAATCATCCTCACTTAGCAGTGATTGTGCGCAGTGGGAGACATGGAACATGTGCTTATGTTTTAATCAGACCACCACCAGACTGCAGTCACACTTGACACAGCATAATTAATTAAAGAAACGATAGGGTGTGTCAAGTATTGAATATCATCTTAGAATACTTTGTTTCTCATGGTTAATCTATGAAGCCATTAACTGTTACAATAAGAGAGGCACCTATTGTGGAATTCTTCTGTGTTGTTTATTTTGCTTTTGTTGTTATTTATCCCTCCTTTTGTACCAGGGAAACCAAGAAATCTTCATCATAAAAAATAACTAAACTGCCCTTCACTACACCACCTTTGAATGAGCACAAAGTCAATTATACACATTTATGAAACAACCTTTAACATGGAAAGGTTCAGTTGTTGTGGAGGCGGAGGCTTTATGTTTCTGAGATGTCCGTGCATCCATCTGTCTGTCTCATCTCATTATCTCAGGAACATCTTTAGGGAATTTTTCCAGCTTTGACACAAACATTCCCGTTCACACAAATGAACAGATTAGAATTTGGTGGTCGAAGGTCAAGGTCACTGAGATCTGTCTCATTTCTAGTATACACGATATCTTAAGAAGGTTTCCAGGGCATTTCCTCAAATTTGACACTTGTACTCACGAATAAACTGATTAGAATTCAGTGGTCAAAGGTCAAGGTCATTGTGACCTCACATAACATGTTTTTGGCCACAACTTTTTTTATATACTCAATATCGTTTCAGTTAGTTCTCAGCATTATGTTTTCAGGTTGTCCATCCATTAGTTCGTCCCAGCCCATTCTTGTGAATGCCTTGGAGGAATTTCTTTATATTTGGCACAAACGTCCACTTGGACTCAATGACCTGATTTGATTTTGGTATTCAAAAGTCAAGGTCACTGTTACCTTGCATCCAACTCATTCTCGTGAATGCAATATCTCAAGAGGGCCATGATGGACTTTTCTCAAATTTGGCACAAACGTTCACATGGACTCAAGAATTACTTGATTAGATTTTGGTGTTTGAAGGTCAAAGGTCAACTTCACTGTGACATCATAATGTTCTGCACAAAACAATTTTCTGGCCATTACTCTTAAGTCACATCTCAGGAACAGAAGGGGAGACGTTTGGTCAGATACTGAATTGGTGACTCTGATCTTGAAACTGTGCTGATTGTATAGATCTTCTGTGTTGTTGGGGGGAAGCTGTGTGTGAAGCATCCGTGTTTTCACAGACATGGATGTGAACTATAAGAGAAACTTGACTGGTTCATGGGGGCATACAAACACAAAGCTGTAATTCTAGCTTAAGTCAAGTCTAATTTTTTTTTCGATTCATGCCTCATTCCTGTTTCAAGATACAGATGGTCATTTCTCTTGGGGTCCGGATATAATATTTGTCTTTCTTTACTTGTTCAGTGACAATCGGGTTTTCAGTTAAAGGACTTGATGAGATGGAGATTTTTTTTTTTTGCAGTGTACTACAGTCTGTTGCTGATAGATTTCAAGGCGAGGGATTTTCTTCTTTTTTCTTACGCTACTCAGGGCTAAAGCTTGTATTTGGACCACAGAAGGCTCTCCAGCTCCAGTTTCAGATCCATTTTGCTGTGAGGATCTATCTGCTTGGCTGTGTGGTCAAGGGCCCACCGGGCAAAGCTACTTAACAGCAAATCTCGTTTAGCAGAATCCTCTCAAAATAAGTGCCTCTCTCTCTCTCTGTCTCTCTCCCTCCTCCGCTCTCCCTATTTCTCTTCTCGCCCTTTTCAAAGTGTGCTAACATTGTCACAACCTGACTGCCGCTAGCCGCGGCGCTAACACCACCGCGTGCTTCCTAACTCACCCATTACCCTTTCACTTCGTTCAACCACTTTCCTCGGAGCAAACCTTCACACCAATTACTAACACTGTTAATTAGCCCGTGTGTTTGGAGGTGTGATGCTTCAGTGTGTCTTCTGACATGCACCTCAGGTTTATACATAGTTCCTCGTCCTGTGAAAGTGCTGCAGGCAGTTACAGCACATCCTGATCACTTGGTGAAATGGGGGTGCTTGTTTTCTACCACCACATCCTTTCAAGCTTTCTCCGTTTGGAATTTCAGTCAGTGTTTTCTTCACCCTTTTGATCCATGACTTCCCGAGGGCACCTGCCGGGTGAGCGAGTGCAGATTCGGTGGTAATAGCTTGCTTTCACGTGGGCGGCAGGTGTTATGATCGTTGACCTCAGAAATCAATCGAAGATTATCAGAGGTTAAGAATGTGCTTTCTGTGGGGCCCTTTCTCTGCTTCTTCAAGGCACTGCTAGAAAAAAACAAAACAAAAACTTGTGTGTCATTGCCAGGGTGAAAATGCTTCATCTGACTTTTATGGCTTCATCTTTATACAGTGAACAGTGTGGGAGTCAGCAGATATGATGCAATCAAGATGGTCATTTGTTTGTGTGAAATGAAAATGACCTCATGAACTGTCTTTAAAAAATGGTAAAGTGGTTAACACAGAGTGTGCATGAAAAATGACATGTAAATGTGCCTCCTCCTTCTCCTCCTCTACCCTTCTCTGACCGCTTCAGACGTTGCGAAAGAAAGGCTTTAACGGCTGCAACAGCCCCGAGCCCGACGGAGACGACTCCATCGACCAAAGCCCGCTAAACGAAGAGAAGTACCGCAAGACTGAGGACCTGGACAGCCTCTTCAAACGCTACGGCGTGAGTACCATCACACTTATATCACCTTATCTAACCTACACTTTCTCTTCTTCTTCTCTGTCTCTATCTACCTCTCTATCTCTCTGTCTGCCGTCTTCTTCTTTGTTTGGGGAACGAAGGCTCTGAACAAGAAAGAGCACCGGGACTCTGAGAGCCCAGACCCCGAGGAGCCCTTCTCCCTCACCCCCCGCACTGAGGAGAAATACAAAAAAATTGACGAGGAGTTTGATAAAATGATGCAGAACTATAGGCTGTCAGTGAGTACCGTCCCCTCCCCCTCCTCTGTGTAACCCCGCCCCCTCCTCATGTTGGTACCCTGCTGCTGCCGCTGTCCGGACCGCCGGAGTTTCTCCGGCTGCTCATGGCGACCTGACTACTCACAGAGCACTCGCCTTCACCATCCCCACCCCTTTGCCTCCTCCACTTCACCTCTTACCAACAGCACCTCCCCCCACCCACCAAATCACTACCCACAACCCCCTCTGATTGTGTGTGACTGAGCAAGGAAAAGTAGGGCAGAGAGGCCGAGCTGACTGACAAACTTTAAAAACTAGGGCTGCAACTAATTAGTATTTTCTTGTTTGATCAATTAATAGTTTGGTCAGAAAAAAATGTTTTAGAGGAGCTCAGCTTCTTTTTTTTTACCATTTTTGCTTCAAAAAGTATCAAAATAGTTGTGGATTAATTTCTGTTACTCAAGTCAAACTTTATTTGTAGATTTGTACTTTTAAGAAAACCGCAGTTGACTGAAGAGCTGAACAGGAACAAGATACCGAAACAGATGAAAACAGAAGCAAACGACAAAAGGAACAAAAGAAAACAATAAACTTAATGGAGAACAAGTTGTAGCACAACACAGGGTGAAGTCAGTTTAGGTGTCGAGCTCAAATCAATCATACGCGAACGAAAAGAAATGGGTCTTCTGCAACGACTAAAATGTTTCTGTCACTTAATGGGACGCTCCTGCCTATTGCAAAGACTTGATCACCACTGTTTATGTGTCTTGTCTCGAAACATCCAGGAGCATCTGATCAGCTGACCTCAGGGCTCTAACTGGAATATGAAGACACTGAAGTTCTGCTAGATAAGGAGGCACCAGACAATTTAAAACCTTAAATGCAAGCAAAATCTTAAAATAAATTATAGATGGACAGGAAGCTAATGGAGGGAGGCCAACACTGGTGTTATGTGATAAATTGATTGAGTAACTCATTTTTTAGCTTTATCTAATTTCCGTTTCCACTGAAAATCACCTTTCCTCATTTTCAAAGAATAAGATTCAGGATTGTTCTGGGACAAGGTGTCCATTTCGAGACATTTTTGAAACTGGATGCTGTGTGACATGGTCCACCTGTCCTGACACATTTCATATCTTGTTTTTAATAAAAAAGGGACTATGTATAACAGTGTGAGTCAGAAATCCTTAGAAAAAGCAGTGTAACACGAGATAGGGCATGCGTCACTGTGGTTATTCACCTGGAGTTACAGTCATTACAGTGAGGAGCATCCTCAGGAGTATTATGGCTTTAATACAGTGTTTCTGATGCCTCTGCAACTTCACTAATGTACAAGAATAAACAACAGAGGGAGAGGAGTGCTAACTAAGTCCTTAGTTTTCACAAAAGTTGGCATAGCAACCGATATCACAGGGGGAAATCATGCTTTATGATAATAATCAACACGTTGGGAGCATGCCTCTGAGCAGTCGGCTGCCTGGCTGAAAGCGTCTGCATCAGCAACACTACAGAAACAAGCGTGCAATTGCAGACACGCTGTGTGCGCCAGGGCCCAGTCTATTCCTGACATGATGCAGGTAACACAGAGAGGGTGCAGTTTCTAACTGCTCGTCATTTACAGTATAACTGAGGTCACTTCTGTCTCGGCGTAGTCCTGCTCCTGCAGCTGGATGTGCTCCTGACATTATCCAGGTTCTGCCTGCTGCCTGGAGCTCTGCCAGGCCCCTTTTACCGCTCCGCTCCTGTGCCAATTTCTCTGTGATTCATTTTTTCCTCCGCGCTCAATAATACCATTAATGTCACTTTAATGAGTAGCACTCAATTTTCAGCCCTTCGTCCTGACTGCCTGCTCCTCTGATTGGTCACTTGGGATTGGACACAGTCATGTTGGGGCTCTGCAGGAGAGTTAGACAGAGGATAGTCCTGGAAACATGTATGTGGGGTTGTGTCAGCACCTGGGTTTTATTCTCAGTTTTTTTTTTTACCTCAGTTAGTTAATGTATTAACTTAACTGGAGACACAGTCAAAGCAGACGGGTAGTAAACACAATCTGTAGCCCTTTTTACACAGCGATAGAGCCACTACGAACGCCAGCATCAGGTCAGTCCTGTGTGGGATTTCACACGGCATTCTGGCATCGCAGAATCTAAAGAGGCGTGACGGACATGACATTTGACACAACAGCAATGGCCTGTAGTGTGACTTCTAACATTTGGTCGGCAGCACTGTCTGAACAATAACAATGGCATACCATGGCAACAACAGTTATTTACAGTCTCTGTCATAGAGCAGCTGATCTCATCCTCTGATCGGAGGGTAAAGAACTCCTGGACCTCATCATTTTCCATATGTGCAGACATTTTTCGGCTGCTGTTTTTCTTTTTTTGAGTTAGCCACTAACTGCTATCAGCTAATTTAGAAATCATTTGCTTTGGGTTGCACGAATAACACGTCATCAAAACGTCACGCCTGTCCTGCCCATAGTCCTGTGCTGTCAGCTCTCCCGTTTATACAGAAGTACATTCGGCACTCTTATAACCTCAGCTGCCGCCTTAAAGGCACGACAACTCCATCCCCCATTCTGCAATTATACCTCTTAGAAAGAACGGCGAGGCGGCATAACAGCAGCTTAAAAGGGGCTTGTGTTTGACCTTTCACCAGCCGCCGCTCCACTTGTGAGACACAAATGCTACGTAGAACTTTCAGGGAATAGCAGGACTATGATAAAGTACATGAATATGAATATACGCAATCTATAGATGAGACTCTCATCTTTTGAATCATTTTGGTTATTTTAAAAAAAAGAATAATCCCAGTAATGCATAGCAGAGTATGCAGCTGAAACACTATAGTCATCCACAGGAAAGAACCATCTGTCATTTCACTGATGAGGAAAACTACATAAATGAGACCCAGACAGAGAAAAAATAACTTTTCCTTTAAAGTATAGCTCCCATAAACGGCTTGTTAATAACTGTCATCATCTCTTCCTGAGAAAATAAGCTGCCTCTCAACTCTCCAAAAAAGCAGAATTCAATCTACCTCCTCTGGAGAGCCGCAGCTCTTCGCGCTCAGCGTTTGGACGCTAGCCGAACGCCGTTAGCGGGTAGGGTCCCCCCACCCCCACCTCCTCACTGCCCTCCAGTCTCTCAGCCTGCCAGCCTGCCTGGCTCGCCCAGCACACCTTTCACAGGGCACCAGCAAACGGAAGCATACATCACCACCCAGCACTCCTCCCCTCAGCATCATAATCCCCAGCATGACAGCTAGGGGCCGGGATATACAAGCTTAATCCTACTTGTACTAAAATACCTCCTGAGGTAGGGAGAGCATGGCGAGGGAGAACGGGCAGGACACTTGGTTAGACGTGCCCCGAGCTAACGTTTCTCTTCCTGTTACACTGGCTCTGTGGAAGCGAGAGGAAAAAAGCGAGCTTTTTTACCGGAGGGTCTCTGGTTTGATCCTGTTCTGGCTCTGAGAGTCTGGGTCGGGAAATTGAATAAGAAATAGATTTCCTCCTTTAACAACTAGCTCCGTGGTGCCCTTTAGCAAAGAGCTGAGTGTCTTGAATGTCTCCTGCAGAGGCTCAGTATGAATGTGAAACATGAAACTGAAAATGCTGCCTGAGCTGTACAGTTAATCACTCCTAATTCAGTTTTCACATTTTTGGCTTTCACAATGAATAACCAACAAACTTCTTTTCAAGATCAGGATTTTAAAGTCAAATGTAAGAAGTTTAGTCAAATAATACCTTTAACCCTTAAATTTTAACGACTTCATATTAATTTCAAGTTTGATTTCAATATAAATTCACCCTTTAAAAAACTGACATCCAGTGGAAGTCGCTGTTTGCATGATCCTGTTTCAATGGATCTGAAATAAAAACCATAACAGCTTGAGCTTTGATTCTTTTTGCAGCAGAAAACTAAGACTTCTGTCTTCCCTGTCATCATGTCATGACCCTATGTTACATTACCATACGTGCCGTTAGTCATTGTAATTACACTGATATTTCCCTATAATGGCTACAGAGGTCATTCTTTGCATAACCCTGTATTTATATTGATATGAAATAGAAACCATAGTAGACAGAACATTCATTCTTTTTGCAGTAGAGAGGCCACACATCTGTCTTCCCTGTCATCACATCATGACCTTATGTTACCTTATGTTACATGCAGTGCACACGTAGTAGTTTGCCATAATTACGACAGAATTTTCCCGTCTCCTGCAGGAGATTGTTGTTTGCATAATCCTGTAGGCCTATATATATAGATCTAAAAAAAACCCATAATAGCCAGAATATTTTTGCAGCAGCGCTACGTTATGTGTGGTGATTCTGAATATAATAAATATATACATAGTTCAAATAACTTATGGAGTGGTAGGATATATTTTGTTAGTCTTCTACATGTAGAGATTGTTATCTTTTTGGATCAGTTTTTTTTGTGTGTTTTTATCATGTAAAATCTAGGTCAAGATGTGAGGGACAAAATCAAATGTGAAGCACTCCAACATTCACACTGAGATGGCTGGTGCTATAATACAAACAGTTTATTCTCAGATAATTTGTTTCAGATCTGATAAATCACAACTGTTGCAGTGCAGATTCATTCATCATTATGTAATTCATAATCATTATTTCGCAGGATTCCATTCTCTCTCTGATACGACATCACTGCGTGGCTGTAACCTACAACATATCCGGATAGATAAAGTTGCCTCAGTAGAATATGGAGTCATACTCAGTGTTATTATTTGCCTTAATAGACTCTTAGTGCTGTATGTTTCCTATGAGGAGAATAAAACAGCCATGTAGGAATATGTTTTCATCAGCAAACGTTAACGACCTTGGGTATGATAAGATATTTTGTCGAGGTGATTCTCTAAGGCATTGCATTTATGTGCTGACTGACCCTAAGGCTGGTTTTGTAATTTCACACCATGAAGGCGTCAGAAACATAAACGTTTTTTTTTTTTTTTTAAATACTTTGTGTTTGGAGCTGCAGATTAAACAGTTT